CTCCCAGATTTTTGACCTTATTTAAGGGCCTTAGGGAGAGAGACTGAAGGTGACAAATGACGGTCTCTCTTTGTTTCTCGGGACCAAAGACAATCATTTCGGTTTTGTCCGCATTTAGCTGGAGAAAATTGCATTGCATCCACTCACTGATCCGCTGGATACAGCGAAGGAGTGAGTCCACCGGTGCATGCTCTTCTGCAGTCAGTGAGACATAGATCTGAGTGTCATCAGCGTAATTGTGGTAGGACACTTTCATACTTTGAATTAACTGACCTAATGGCAGCATGTAAATATTGAACAGGAGAGGTCCCAGAATCGACCCCTGTGGCACTCCGCAGGTCAGGGCCATATTATCTGAGACATAGTTTCCAATCTCCACACAATACTTCCTTTCTTCTAGATAGGACCTAAACCAGCTTAGGGCGGTACCAGCAACACCAACCCAGTCCTCCAGTCTCTGCATGAGAATCTCATGGTCAACGGTGTCGAAAGCGGCACTCAGATCTAACATGACTAAAACAGAGACTTTTCCTGCATCAGTGTTAAGCCGAATATCATTTGTTACCTTGACTAGAGCGGTCTCAGTACTGTGGTGTGGTCTAAAGCCAGACTGAAACATGTCAAATGAGTCATTAGATATTAAAAATTCAGTAAGTTGTTGGTAGGCAACTTTTTCAAGAATTTTTCCCATGAAAGGCAGATTTGAGATGGGACGGTAATTTTCAAGTACCGCAGCATCCAAACTGCTCTTTTTTAGGAGGGGCCTAATGACTGCCTTTTTCAGGGCCATTGGAAATGTTCCAGATAAAAAAGACATGTTTACTATTTGTGTCAATGAGGGTAATAGACTACACATAACAGACTTCAGAAATCTAGGAGGTAGTACATCCAGACTGCAGGTAGAGGAACTAAGACCTGTGATTATCTTTTTAACAGTTTCATCATTGACAGGTGCAAATTGAGCTAGCTCACAAAGCCTCACTGGATGTTGCATTGTTACTTGTGTTGTGGAGGTGATGGTATTTCTGATACCCTGAACCTTGTCTCTGAAGAACTGTGCAAACTCATTACACCTGGATTTGGAGTAGTGTTCTAATGGCAACTCAACAGGGGGGTTCGTTAATCTATTGATTGTTGAAAATAGAAACACGCAGATTGTTGCTGCAGCCTTCAATAGTTTCAGAAAAGTATAATTCTCTTGTTCTACGTAGTACTCTGTTAAACTCACACAACTTCTCTTTTAAGAGTCTATAATCACCCTGGAGGTTGGACTTTCTCCACTTTCTCTCTGCTCTCCGGCACTCTTGCTTCTGTGCCCTGACCGGGCCTGCTTTTATCCATGGGGCTTTTTGCTTATTTGTGACCATTTTTACCTTCACAGGGGCAATGGCGTCCAGAACATTCAACACACTAGAGGTGACAGAGTTAAGCAGTTCATCTACAGTAGAACATGATGTGTTCTCAAAATGGATCATTCCCATAAATAGTTCACCCGTGTTTTCATTTAAGTGTCTACTTCTAACAATTTCATATTTAGCGGGTGGTCTGGTAGCAAAACACATGTTAAAAAATACACAGAAATGATCCGACAGAGCAACATCAACTACATTAACTTTTGAAATATTCACCCCTTTCGTGATAAGCAGGTCCAAGGTGTGTCCTCTGCTATGGGTGGGGCCACTCACATGCTGAGTGAGGCCAAAGGATTCAAGTATGGAACTCAGCTCTTTTGCGTATCTGTCATTAACATTATCCACATGAATATTAAAATCGCCTATAATGACTAAACCATCAAAATCTGTGCACACAACTGAAAGCAACTCAGTGAAATGATCAGTGAAACTATGGCATGACTGTGGCGGCTTGTACACAACAATAATAAGAATGGAAGAAGATTTCTTTTGTTCTATTTTAAAAGAAACATACTCAAATGATGAAAATTTCCCAAGAGACACCCTATGGGAGACAATACGATCTTTAAAAACTGCTGCTATGCCCCCCCCCCCTTTTATTTTCTCGTGTTTCATGTTCAAATTTGAAATTTGGCAATCAATAAAGCAATGTTTACAAACTCTCTCCATCTAATCTGGCAGCGTTTGGGCTGTTTTGCAAAGAAGAATGTGAAACACCTCGGTCTCTGGATGTGTCACCTCTGTACACAGCACATTTGTGGGTCAATTACAAAAAGTCCAGCTTTCAGAAACTTACAGTTGCTTACAATGATGCGCTGAGAATTGTATTTAAAAAGCCCAGATGGACAAGAGCCAGTGAACTCTTTGTGTAAAATAAAGTAAATACTTTGCAAGCTGTCTTGCGAATTTTTATGACAAAGTTTATAGGTTTGTGTAATGCTGTGATTATTTTATTGTTCAGTGTTGTGTGCAGCGAGGTACGTTACACGTCGCTGCTTTGGAAAGTTCAGAGGTTTTTATTGTCTGTTGTTTATTTTATTTTGTCTGTGTCTGTGTTGATCTGGACCTTGAGTCTGCAAAGAAAGTCTATCTATCGATCTACACAGTTTTCAAAGACCAATCCCCAAAAAGAGCTTGAATCTTGAAGAAGCTGTAATTGTAGTAAGAGGCAATTCTACCATTTCATGCCATTGTTTGATTTAAACAATAAAATCATGTATCAATTTGATTTGGTTCATATGTGATGTCTTTGTCTTGGTCTTCCACAAAAACAGTCATAATGAAACAAGGCATTGCATTGTTAAACACCAACGGTATTGTGTGGTACTATAAATAGCAATAATCCTTCAGCCGATTCTTTCAGATCCACATAAAAACCTATTTGCTGCAATGTAAGAACTACCATCAAAATGTGAACTATACTGGATGTAGTCGAGAAAAAAAAGAAAATTGAGATCAATCATAATTGGGAACATCTTCAGGCTTGTAACGAAACACAGATAAGAACACACTGGAGCCGTGACACTGAAGTGGAGGTGATGGTTTTGATAATGGATTGATATGATCTCAGAGGAGTGTGTGCACGTGTGTATGTGTGTGTGTGTGTGTGTGTGTGTGTGTCTTGGCGATATGTGCCAGCAAACTGTCTCATAAATACAAAGGGCTGGTAATGAGGGGGCGTAACTCAAACATACGAATATAAGTTAATAGTAGAGGGGGACGTAGCGGCTTTTTAGTCCCACACACACTGAACTGGGGGGTGACCTTCAGTTAGGCCTGGTCCATACATTAGACTGATCACGCCTCTCCCACAACAGGAAAAACGTCCTTGTCCAAACGCCATTGACAACATTCAGGAGGCTCATAACTCAAGGTGTAAATTAAAGTCTTCATATTCCAGCGAGGGGAGGTGTTTCATTTGCTACATTGTTTATGCTCCAAAGCACAGAGATGAGCGGGCCGGTAAATATTCCAAAGTGCAACAAGCCTGCTCCTCTCTCTAGTCTAGTGGCTGTTTCTCACAAGTATTTTCTCTCTCACAAAGGATGCATTGACCCCAGGCTTAAGTAAGCTCTGCGTCATTGACTGAAACAAGAGGAACGGGCCGGTGTCTTGACAAGACAGATTTGCTCTTTAAAGCATTATGGATTACCACAGTTTGGACTGAAAAGGGGATTTCAAAGAGGTCCCGTTGTGGCATTAGTTCAGCGAGATGATTTATTCAGTGCGGTCAATCAATTCAATTAGAAGGGTCCAGTTACGACTTGGTGCGGACTACTTTATGATCTATGGCGCAATGACATGCACTAACAGTTTCATCACATTACCGCCCCGCCCACATCCCATCTTCTATCAGCATAATCACTCGGATGGACGGCAGGAGATTTTTACGGTATGGCTTAATGTCCATCTTAAGAGCAGTAATTGTGAGGCTTTAGAGACAGGTACATAATGGGTACATGTCATTTCAGAGCCATCCCTAGAGCAGAACACAGAGTTTTCTATTCACACTAACCATAGTCTACAGGTCACTATAAAAGAAATGTATGAGCCGGGATCCTGACATTCAGCTTGGCCGAGGTTAACTGGACAGCACCAGTTTGGACAGTGTTCTTATTATGTTGTAGTGTAACCTTTATCACAATTCTCATCCCTAAATCAGCGAAGTCAGATGTGACAGAATAAGCAAAATCATGTTTAAAGAGTGTAGAAAGTTCTAGTACCCCACACATTGACTCTGGGCATAAAGGTTGAAGATAACACATTACATATATACTTTAACACAAAGTACAATTTATATCTTCTCACCCTTTGATAGAACTGGAGTGCACAGCAGAAAGTGGCCAAGCATAGCCCCAAAAATAGATTGTTAACTTGTGTCTTTATCAATTTTATTCTTGCACAAATTCTAGGTAACTTCTTGCCAGTCCTTGAGTTTTCCCATGTTTTGTACTGTAAGTGCGATAAGAGTGGGGCTGTTGGTCTGCATGGACTGCTGGGCTGAATTCCAAGAAAGGCACACATGTAATCAAGTGAGCTCCAGAGCAGGGGCTTGTGACTGTCTGACATCAGAGCGTCAGTGACACACATCATATTTGTGCGCTTACAGCACAGTCAAGTGACCAACAACAAGTCTCCAGCAGTAAACTAAACCAGACACGGATCATGCACTCAATGAGCATGGGCATTATTTACCATACTTATGATTCAGGGAAAAGATGTGGTTGGGACATTGCCAATTGACCATCCCAGAGATAAAGGAATGGACAATAACATTCTAAACCAGAAGTATGCAGCAAAACCTGAAGCATGAAGGACTGAGAACTGACATGTGTCTACTGTATGTTAGAGCTTTGTTTGAATGAAGGGGGGGTCACATATACAACTAACAGCTCAATGGCTGTCAACAGAAAATAAAGTTTGAGGAATCAAGCAAGACGCAAACTCTTAACTGATCATCCTTCAATAGACTAAACTGTGGTTCCTGTGTGATGGCTGACAGACTCATGAGAGGCACGTGTAATGATTAGGATACAGTTTTGAACACTGTATTTCAGTTAAATAAAAAATATATTTAACAAAAATTACCTGATATTTCAGACTGTGGCACTCCCTCCAACGTGAAGCCTTTCCCGCTGTAAAACTGTCTGATATCCGAACAACTCCGCGCTTTGCTGGTGCCTTTCTCCCCGAGGACCACGGTGGTAAGAGAGGACAGTGCAAAAAACAAAGCCACGAAGTAGGAATCCATCCCGAGTCAGATTGTTTGAGAGAGACAAGTGCGAGTGCGAAGACTTCCAGATCAACAGCCGCTTGTCATGGGCACAGGAGCACAAGAACCCTTTCACCTCCTCTCCTCTTTGCAGTGTCTGCGCTGAGGTTTTCACTCACTCACTAATGACCAATTCTTCTGTCCGCCTTCTTCACCTAAAGGGCAATAAGACACGCAGCCAGATGACCATGTTATGACTGCAGCTCTACCGGGCTCTAACAACTGCTGTCTACTGACCGAGCGCGCCTGTAGCCACCGGCTCTGTGACGTGCGCACGCTGCCTCTGCTGCTGCTGCTGCTACTGCTGCTGCTGCTGCTGCTATGTCCCGTTGGAGCGGCGCAATGCCAGAGCTGCCACAGAGCGGACTGACAAGGCAGAGGCAGCAGCAGGAAGAGGAGGAGGAGGCAGAGGAGACTGGGTAGTGCGTGTGCGTAAAGCTCATGTCCCTCTCCTCTTGGATCCGTGACGCATGTCTTTCTTTACATAATCATATCCCCTGTTTACGGTCTCACATAGGAGTATGTTTGTCTTGTCAAAGCCAGGTGTCGCAGGTGACGTGTGGGCGTGTCCCGTAGCCTCACGCCACGCCCCCTCGCATCCACAGGTGACCGCTGCAGCCGGAGCGCAGCCAGCGTCACTCTTCGGGCCGCAATTATGGGCGATGCACAAGTCCGTACGCGCCTGGTCTTCCGAGTGTACCTGTCAAGTGGTGAATGCCTCTATTATGCTTCTGCGCGGATACTGTTTGGCCAAGGACTGGAACTTGGATTGTCAAAGAATGGTATGTTATGTCAAGGAGGGGAAAAAAATCTCAGCTATATTATCCTGGTTATAAAGGTCAATAGAAACTTATAAGCAACATGTTGGTTCATCTCAGTGGTTAAGATTTATGAAGTACACTATATCAAGGGGAGCTGTGAAGTGGGAAGGCATTATTTAGCACTAACATTCTTAGTATACACGTTTTAGTTCATTTTTTCTTTTTGTAAAATGTGTTTGATCTTTTGAAACATGTGTGTAGTTTATTTCTTCATAATGACATAAAAAACTACTACTTCTACAGGTTCCCAGGAGGAATATTCTCCTTTCAAAATCCCCATAGGAGTTTTAACATGGGGATTCACAAGGGCTGTACAGGAGATTTTCCCCAAAGACCTCAAGGTTAACTAAAACGGCTCATTCTCATCTGACTTGGAACCTAAAGCTTTCAAGGTAAAAATGTCAGTGTCTCTTGTCATCCTGGATCCTTTGGTTTTCTCTGAATTCAAACTTTGTGAAGGAGACCGGGAGAACCAGAGCTGTCCAAAACCAAGACTTCACTAATGTTTGGGACGTCCATGGGGAGCACAAGCCATTTATCTGAATGGGCAGTGGTTTTTAAAAAGTCAAAATAATAAGTTTGAAGACATAACGGGGGAAATCTGGCTCTACCTGGCTCTAACTCCACAGAGCAATTGACAATGTGGTTTGAGCACAATTAAAGCACATAATACAGTGAAACATGTTCACTACTGTGTTTTTAATATTTGAAAAAATACTTTAGTTATTATACATTTTCTATCTTTTATAATAATTATTCTTTTGAATGGAGAACTTGGAAGCCCTCCTCACTGCTCCATTTAGGCCGATAATCTGTCCGTCCTCCTGCCCTAGTTTTTTGTGCTCCCTGGTCCTTCTGAATGACCTTTCTCTGCACGTCTTAACACTGTGCAACAAAGGGTTTTCTTGTTGGGGCTTAGATAGTTGCTTCAAGTAAGTAAGTAATATTTATTTATATAGCACATTTCACAGATCAGTAACACAATTTTTTCATTCTCTCCCCACACAATGATGACAGAAGTGAGACGCAGAACACCTGACTCATCCAAGCCTCCGACTGTCACCATCCGCTCACTCAGTCATGACATCCAGACCTATTGTACATGTTTTTAGTGCTATCGGGGAAACCAAAGCACCTGGAGGGAAACCTTTGCAGACATGGGGAGAACATGCACACTCCACACAGAGAGGCCTGAAAGTGGAATCAAATCCAGGATGTTCTTACTGTGAAGCACAAGCGCTAACCAAGGCGGAGGTCTCTCACTTTCCAACATTTGTTAACAACACAGCACGAGTACATGCAGGGGTACCATTACGTTAGCTTTACATGTCACTATTCATTCATTCTATACACGGTGGTGATAAACTACTACTGTAGCCACAGCTGACCACCACCAACCATTCACACACACATCAGACTCAGTTTGGAACTTTACAGCCGCAGCCGCCCCACTGTGGCATCTGGTGTACCCAGAGGTTTAGTGTCTTGCCAAGGACACAAAAACAGCAGAGGGAGTCGGTTTTTGTGTCCTTGGCAAGACACTAAACCTCTGGGTACACCAAGGAGACAAGAACAGCAGAGGGAGTCGGTGGAGAAAGTCTTGTGGTGGGCTTGAACATATTTACATATCATAATAAAAAGTATGCTGTGTTTACATACCTTCATAAATGATGTAAGCCTCATTGCAGAATAACCAGTATAAGATGTTAAATAGAAGGTGACCAAGAGCCAGTCCAATCCTGCTTATTGAAGGGAAGGACAAGTGTAAAAACCTTTACAAAGTTCCAGTGGCAAAGTGTATGCACATAGAGCTATACAGTGGATTACATCCGGAAATTGAAACTAAACACATTACAAGACATATTTTTGTTAATTTGTAAAAGTCTGTTGGGCACATATGCTATTAAATGACATAAGCTAATATTCAATTGGCCAGATTTTCTTTACTCTCATCTCCACCACTGAAAGTAAAGATTGGAACAGCTCTGGAGTGGCAGCATTTTCCATCAGTAGTAGTGACCCTCGACAGCAGGTCTGACCCCTACAGGGAGAGATCAAGTGCCTGTTGTTAATACAGTGTTTGTCTTCTTTTGTAAGTGGACAATAGGTCACATTTCACTTTTAGAGAAACTCCCATCCTGAGTCTATTGGATACTTATTTCTCTGAGATGTGTAGCTGAACTCACCGATAACTTTAAATTGTTGCAGGATATCAGTGTTCTATAGTAATATGTCGTCACATTTGACTGCTTATGCCTTAAACATGAAGTTCACTGGTTTCAATCTTTCTGTTAAACATTCCTGAAATGCCTCCGTTTCCTCATTACTTCTAATAGGATCAGTGTTTTCCAGTTCCCAGCATCCGATTCCGACAGTCAAGCTCCTTGTCACGGCCAGTGGCAGCAATATGTCCAGAACTAATGCTGTATGAGAGACAGGAGGGTCACCCGGTTCATTGGAATCAACATGACATTTTGCTTTGGCAATGTGTTTTGGAAGTGATTTTGGAAAGGTATCTTTTTTTGTGTTTTATTGGTTACTTAAAAACGTTGAAACCAAATACAGAGTGTGGCCATAGAGACAAACACACAATCATATTTGCTGATGCTTCTTTTGATCAAGGTGCCAAACTGAGTGTACAAATAACACATGCCATGGTGACACTTTTTGTGAATAAACAAGCTTAAAATAACCCAGAATCATTTATAATACAAGTTACACAGACTGAGAAAAGGAAAACAACCTCATATTCATAGCAATGCTGTGTTTCCACATCTCTCAGATTGTCATTGTAAAACTGGACATTGTTTTGAATGAATGGGAAACGTTTTTGTTTCCCATTCATTCCCATTTTGTTTCACACAACATGACATTGACATTATATGGGTTTGCTGCAAAAAGGGCATAAAGAGTACTTGTTAAGCCATAAGGCGCTCCTAACTGTGATTTCAAAGTGTTTTGGACAATGACAGACAAGGAAAGACAATGGAATTGTGTTGTCCTCAGTCCTCAATCCCAGAAATGGGATTAGTTGCTTCTTGTAATTGAAACTAAAGGTCCAACCTGACTTAATGTCTGTTCTGGCATCAATCCCAAGCTGATCAGGCCACTAAAGCCTTTGGTAGTCAATTACATAAACACTTAGTTGATAGTTTCAGGGTTAGCTATTTAACAAACAGAGACATTCTAGACATGAAAAACTGTTAAAATCATATGTAGTGTACTCGAGATCTAATCCTTTAGGCAAAAGGGTTGTCAAAGGCCCTGCAATAATGGGAAGTTATTCCAAAGGCTTAAAAATAATTGTATTATTGGTCCAATGTTATTAATCAAATAAATTGTTTTGTTATTTTTCCCCTGACACAGTTGTTTGCAAGTTCAATACCATGTATTTTTGTAAAACCCTAAATCACAACAGCAGCTGTCTCTGAGAACTTTGTAAAGTTGTCGATTTACCAAAAAAGATTAGAAAATCAAATCAAACACAGGAAATGCAATAATAACATAGGGATGACCAATGTCCATAAATGTTACTGAATGTCCATAAATGTCATTATCATTAAATATCCCAGATCATCACTGTCCTTAGAACCTCCTGCATCAGAAAGGATATACTCCAAGAACCCTATGGGAAAAATGTCAAATCTCAGGGGAATCCGGATCCGCTCCCTGCAGGACTGAGGAGGCGGGGAGGGGACTGCAGACCACAAGTCCGGGCAGGGGACACAGTCCACAGATACAGGTAAAAGAGGGCGGGTTCAAGGGTCCCATCATTACACCATGAAGCAGTTACAGTTAGTTTGGCAAGTTATCCTTATTCTCCCTTCTGTTATTTTGATTAACTTTCATGAAAGTTGAATAGTATTGAGTTTGGGCCCGATGAAGGGCATTCTCCTGTTAAGGAAACTTTTTCTCCACTCCCTGTGGGCAAGCTCTGAATTGGAGTGGATGGGAGTTTTAGTGAACGCAGTTTGGTATTGTACCACGAGGAAGCCGGTGTAACGCCGAGATACACTGTCTTGAAGAGATGCACTGCCTCAGCTGTTTATGATGTAATGCAAACCTGCGCATGCGCGTCTCACGGCAACCGAAGCATACCAAGATGGCGGACCGTGAATTGCTTTAAAAGTTGAAATACGAATAATGGAAATAATAAAT